CAGTTTGGGTCTGATCTATGGCTTTTCTAAATGCGCTGCTTTCTTTGTCTGTTAATTTTTGTTTGAGTTACGATAAACCAGTAAATTAACGCTAAACGATGTTGTCGTTTTCAGCATGATATTCATTCTTTAAGGCTCCTCGTCGTGCCCGTGGCCCTGGACGTGTTGGTAGGGCTCGGGACGATGGTGCTGCTCAGGATCCTGCTGCAGTTATGGACATTTACCAGGCGCTACTTTCCGAAGAAAATGCAGCAGTCCCTGCACTAGAGGATGCAAAAAAAGAGATCGTTGAAATTTCTAATGCAAGAGACCTTGCTGTTGCCAGAGCTGAAGCAAATGCGCAGATTATAACTCACCTAGAGCAGCGTGTAAGTCAACTGGAGGCAACTTTGAAGGATCAAGTAGACATCGATCAACTCAGACGAAATATATTTGCAGCATTTAAGGAGGCTGCCGGCATAATGGCAGTGGCACAGTCAATTCTACCCGGAAACTAGGAGTTGATTGGATACGAGTAGACGTACAAGCTAGAAGCTTAGAATTATTATCTGAGTTATTTTGTTAAGTATTCAATTGCTGAAGCATGCAAGACGTGAAGTATATATCTTGTTATTTGAACTTTCAGGAATGCACCGTCTTTTTTAGATTAATTTAGATTTTTTTGATCGTAATTATCACTAGCTGTAGATTATCTTTCCCTTTTTCGCTGATTTCGTCGTAAAGTCTTATATATGTCTTTGTTTTGTTCATGATTCATCTTCTGGTACAACCTCTATTCTCTATTGTATGTTCTGATAGTTGTATTTAGATGGAGTGGCTTGTTTGTGTTAGTGACCACATTGTTGAGTTCATACCTTCTTGGCAAAATTTCCCAGATGGAAGCAAGCTTGAGGTAATTTTCATCTTTGATCCTGTTTGTTTACTGAGAAAATCATGAGGGGAAAAAAAGGCATCTTTTGATCTTTAGGACGGTGATAAATTGGGGTGGTTTGTTGTTTTTAGCTATGAAACTCACCAATTTGAAGTTTCTTGCATTTTGAACTGTTTATTCTGTGATTTTCCATAGGTAATGACTTGCAGGCCTAGATTAGATCTTTTCATTAATCTCGCCGCACTTCGAAAGCTCGACAACATGCTTCTGGTGAGAACTTACAATAGTTGTTTTTAGCTATGAAACTCACCAATTTGAAGTTTCTTGCATTTTGAACTGTTTATTCTGTGATTTTCCATAGGTAATGACTTGCAGGCCTAGATTAGATCTTTTCATTAATCTCGCCGCACTTCGAAAGCTCGACAACATGCTTCTGGTGAGAACTTACAATAGTTGATTTATAATTCATGGTGTTAATTTGGGGGAAAAGTCATTGTTTCTAACCATATAAACTGACTTTTGGTGGTGCAGGATATACTAGATAGTTTCACGAGCAGTGAGTTCTGGTATGTTAAGGGATTGTAGCCCCGGAGGCCGATGGTTCGGCCTCATTTTGGAAGACGCTGCAACGCCAGGAGGAGAAGTGGTGGATACTTGTGTTCTGTATGCCTGCTGGTGGTCTCAGTGATAATTCGAGAAAGCAATTGAACCACACTAGGGAGTGTACCAGTGAAATATTGAAAGCTGCTATGGCTATCAACAGCATCACTCTGTCGGAAATCAAAGTTCCGGATTCGTACTTGGACACGCCTCGGAAGGTCCTAAAACTCCGACCTAGTCCGATGTCTTGTTGGGTTGGTTTGTTGTTTTTATCTAATTTTTCTAGCACCATTATAACTGTTGAGCTTAACGAATTCACGTTCAATCCATTTATCTTTTAACTTAATGATCTAATTGTCGCTTCCAACTTGTACATTATATTGCCCAAGTACGTGGTGTGGTGGCTGCAGTTGTCGACATGTACGAGGCAGTACTTGCCGAGAAACAGGCAACAAAGCAGTCGAACATGTACAAAGGATATTTCAACTTGAGCAGCACGACAAATCAGCGGCTGTCACAGTGGAGCTAGACGAAACAACCGAAGCAGCGGCGACGGCAGCAGGCACTCCGACATAATACTGCAAGAGATTTTGCTGAATCTCCTTCGGTCAAAATCAATGTGCATTTTTCTGAATTGATTCCTCCAGCATAATTAGCATCATCTAGCTTGGGAACCCCACGAATACTTCCTCGCATGTTTCCATCGGTGATAACAAGTTCTAGTTTCTGCATGAGTTCTGCCCACCGTAGCACAATTTCCACGATTCCAGACTTTGCAACTGCAATGCATTTCACCAACCAAGAACTAGATCAGTTAACCCTTCACAGCTTACCACTAAATACAAGTGAGCCATTTGAATTGACCTAACCTTTCTTCAAATAGTCTTCTGAAAGTTCACATTTAGAGCCGAAGCTGCTCCGATGAAGTGCCAAAGTTTCCTTGGTTTGAGAATCAAAAGAGGATTGTCAATAAGACCACTGACACCCTCTTCTTCATCAATGCAACCGCATCGTCCTCCAGGTGAGTCCAAGTCGGGCATAAAAGTAATCTTTTTCCAATTCTCACCCTCCCTGCATTTTGTTATAACAGGTTCAGTTTTGGTTCCCATGTTGTTTCTAAATATCTACAAGACAAGCCAGCAGTTTGAAAAGAAATAGCCACATTCAAGCACACATTTGTCCTCCTTTTTGTTTGACAAGTCAGTGACCCAGAAACAATCGATCATAAGCAAATCATATTTTAATGTAACCATGTTTCAAAGTCTTCAACCAGAGAAAATATGTAGAAAAAAACAAATGATCTTTCAAACCTATAATCAATTATAAGTAGAAAAATGATATTTCCATCAGTGGTCTCGATAACAGTGTCGTCGTAATTACTGCTAGTCAACAAATGGCCAAAGACCAACTCCTGGATATAATAAACGTTTCCCCCCTGGTGAATCTCGACCGGAACCCCATCCCCGTTGTTGTAAACGGAGATCAAATTCTGCTCCGCATCGATCACCACTATGATGGAATCCATGGACGGATCCCGCTGCTTGTTGTCGGCGGCATTTACTAAGATCTCGTCGAAGGTATTGTAAAGTGCCGTTACGTATTTGATTGTGTGATGGACCATTTCGTCGTTCTCATAAACCCATAGATTTTGGGAGTTTTTCTGGTCGAACCGATGTAGCTGTCCGGCCGGAGGAGGATGTGTTCTATTTGGCTTTTCTTCTGGTAGGTTTCTTCTATGGTCGTCGAGGCTTCGATGTTAGCGTTGCCGATTTATAGCGGAAGTTTGAATAGGAAGCCATGGCGGATTTGGGATTCGATTAGGGCTTTAGGGAGGAAGACGAAGAGTTTATGTAAATAATGGGCGGGAATATTGGAAATTGCAAACGAGAACGGAAAGATGATCCAACGGCTGCGATTTGTTTTTTATTATTAGTGTTGTATTTTTTAAATAGGGTAAACTATGTGTTTACTACCTAAACCATTAGTTATAATTCCTAAATTTTTATTTTTTTCAAAATCATACCTAACAATTAGTTTTTATTTCATTTTAATACCATTTCCTTAAAATCTTAACGGATGGGCTGATGTGGCATAGCTCTAGCGGACGAAGTACCAATTTGAACTGTGAATCACAAGAGAATGACGAGTCGAGCAACATAGTCCGGTATATAAATTGAAATGGTTAAATAGATATATAAATGAAACCGAAGGACGGTTTACAATATCTTAAGGTAGCTAGACTGGGAGTCCGGCAAGGAATTGGAATGACGAGGCTGTTGCTGCCGAGGTTGTTGCTGCCAAGTCTGTCATTTGAATTTTTTTATACGCACCAAGGACAAGTGCAAGATGTTATGTCCGTAATACGAATTTAAGAAATTATATTAAAAAGTTAAGCGGTGCAAAATTCTAAAATTAATAATTTGAAATCGATAAAGTTAATAAGAAACAGTTCATTAAAGTTTAAAGTAATTGTTAATTAGGATAAAGTTAATTATCTCAATAAACGCCAAGTATGATTTTGAAAAAAATAAAAATTTAAGTATTAAAACATAATAGAAGTGATAGTTTAGATATTAAATATGTAGTTTACCCTAATTTTGATCACATCCTACAAAGTTGTTTACAATAGACTATGATTTTAAGGTAGTTCTGTCGTACGTTAGTCTAATATACGACAACTAATATACGACTAAAGAAAGATGCTACCGGAAATGTTATTGGTTTTTTAACATTTCTGGTAAACCACTACCTAAAACATTATTTTTTTACCATAAATGTTAATTTCGCTACCTAATTTTCAGTAGAAAAACCGGTAAAAAAAATAACATTTTAGACGGAACTCAATATTAACATTTCCAGTAAAAAATAATGTTTTAGGTAGCGCTTTACCGGAAAATATTAAAAAACTTATAACATTTCCGGTAGCGTCTTTCTTTAGCTGTATATTAAGCGACGTACGGGAGAGATCCCCACGATTTTGTACTAATTTAGATTCAAATTTTTACTTTGGGAAAGATGGCATCAGTTGCCGACGACTTTAAGAGAAATTATCATCAATTATTAATAATTTTGGACTAAATTATAAAAAATAAACTCTTTACAATAAAAGTAGAATTAAAATAAACATACAAGACAAAAATATGAGGAATCGGGTCAGATGAATCGTTCTTCTTGACCTAAATCAGATTTAGACATGAAATTTTAGCTTATATTAAGTCTGAAGCTAAAAATATTTTGAAATCAAATCTCGATCTGACTCGACCTAAAACAGTTATTTTGTAATAAACTTTATTCTTTTTAACAAAACTAAGAAAATTTAACCAACTAGTGCCTATATTAGGATAAAACCAACAACAACTAACCTCCCCCTTTCTAATCATAGCATTGTAGGAAACTCTTTTGTTGTATAAATCCATCAACAATCTCTCATTATTTTACACAAGACTATAAAAAAGGAATTCAACAATGGCGACAATGTTATTGTGGTGCATTACGATGATCTTTTTTATGGTCTTTCAAATGGCAAGTTCTAATGCCATTCCGATTAAGATGAACGTGATCGATAAATGTTGGAGAAATAATCCTTTTTGGCGGAGTCAACGACAGCGTCTGGCTAAATGTTCTGTTGGTTTCGTCGGTAAAATGACCAACAACATTGGTAAAGATGTCACAAAATATAAGGTCACCGATCCTTCCGACGACCCGTTAAATCCTAAACAAGGGACCCTTCGTTACGGGACTACAATGATCAAGGGAAGAGTATGGATCACCTTCAAAAGCGACATGCGAATCGTACTCCAAAGACCGCTTCTCCTAAGCAGCTTCACCGCCATCGACGGTCGTGGTGTCGACGTCCACATAACCGGCGCCGGTTGTCTCGTGGTGTATAAGGCGACCGATATAATCATCCACGGGTTACGGATCCACCATTGCAAGTCCCACCCACCTAGCACTGTGATGGGTCCGGAATCAGAGGTGATCCCATTAGGTCAAATGGATGGAGATGCGATAAGATTGGTCACCGCAAGGAAAGTGTGGATTGATCACAACACGTTGTATGAATGCCAAGATGGTCTCCTTGATGTCACTCGAGGCTCCACCGATGTTACCATATCTAACAACTGGTTCAGAAACCAGGACAAAGTTATGCTTCTTGGGCATGATGATGGCCATTTGAGAGATAGAAACATGAAGGTCACTGTCATTTTTAACCATTTTGGACCTAACTGCAATCAAAGAATGCCAAGGTAAAAATGGCTTAACTCCATGTTTTAATTTGCAACAAGCCTTACTATGATGTTTTTGCATCAGTTTAGTCCTCGAAGTTATTTGATTGCACCATCCTAAACCTTAAACCCAAACCCTAAACACTAAATTCTAAACACTATCTGACTGCTATATTAACTCCATCACAGAGTCCGTCATGGATATGCACATGTAGCTAACAATTTCTATCAAGGATGGGAACAATACGCCATTGGTGGAAGCATGAGCCCTAGCATTAAGAGCGAAGCCAACGTTTTTGTAGCCCCAAATGCAGACAACAAAGAAGTAATCTTTAGCACTATATCATCAGTTATCATTTTGTATATGAAAATATTTGGTTCAGAAATGGTGAACCCTAATTATGTCTTCAAACAGGTTACATGGAGAAAGGGCGACAAGGCAAGTAAAGCTTTATGGAATTTCTATTCGGTGGGTGATATTTTCAAAAATGGAGCCTCTTTCAATAAGCAAACGGGTATAGGTGGGGCGAAACCTAATTATAATCCAGAACAAAGTTTTAAGGTTGCCAATGCCAGATTAGTTAAAGAACTGACAAGTGCTTCAGGTGCTTTACAATGCTCTAGGACTCTGACATGCTAAGCACAAATGAGACCATGGTATTGAATATTGATATTTGGCTCAAATGAACATAAGAACACTAAGAGTCATGCTTTGTTTATTTGAGGTTAAAAGAAACTTTGTGCACATGTTGTATAAGAGAGGAGGATGTGAGTTAATCATTGTGTAAGCTATCAGTCTGGTGTTGTTGTTATTGCTATCGTTATTGCTGTTAAACGATTAATATATGTTCTAAATAATTTTAAGTATAAGACAATGAATTTCCGATCATCTTTATAGTCGCTAGAGCTTGAATCCGAGACCTCTAAGAATAATAATGATTCCTTAACCACTTAAAACGTGACACGTGCACCATCGTGTGTCACGTTATCTTATAAAAAAATTGGATTACTCATAAAAGAGGGTTCACTCACTCCGGTGTTGGCATTGGGAACTCCGCGTACTTGGCAAGAAGAAATTCATACATCTTTTGAAGACTCGTTGTGTGGGCAGAACAGTTGTATCTCCCTTTCGCATTGGGGAAGATATGTGCCCTCCCGTCGTCATCGACGTGCACCATCGATGCATTTAGAATGTAAGGATATTGATGTTGAAGCCCTAAGATGAGAGCCAACGTTGTGTGCACTGAGGCAGGGAGTTTGGGGCATATGGAAGGACCAACGACGAGACTAGGAATCACTGTCACCACATCGATTCCGTGTCGTGCCCCTGATTCGAGAGCTTCCTTTTCCGGTAAAGTCTTGGACATAATGTAACAACGTTGGTTCCGTTTTGTATCCCTCGAAGGAAACCGACGTCAGTCCAGAAATTCTCGTCCATAGTCTCCACTTCCCGTCCGTTGAATACAACCGCACGGTACCTGATCTTAAGCATGACTTCAATACGCTTACCATTCCATTCACCGCCCTATCAATAAATGCTTCCTCGGGCACATCGAAGTCGAGAGGGTGGCGAGATGGAAGACTCTCTTGCATCCCCCGATGGCTGCATCGAAACTCTCGGGATCGTTAAGATCAGCGCAGAAGATTTCGAGCCTTTCGGCTGCACCCGGCAGTGTGGTTAGGAAACTAAGGTCTCTTTTGTTACCTGGGTCGGACCTGACATTGGTACGGACCGAGTAGCCCTGTTGAAGAAGCCTCTTGATCAGCCATGCAGCTATGAACCCAGTGCCTCCAGTCACACACACTGTTCCTTTGTCAACTTCTTCCATCTCTTCTGAGTCTTTACTTTCTCTTTCGGACGAGATTTAAATAGCGGTTCGCTACCACAATAATATCCATTATATAACAATAACGATATGATCCGAAACCATTATTACATGACTATGATGATACCTGCAATATATATAACGAATCTTGATAAGGCTCATGTATTAACATAGTGTATATATATAATCATGAATTTTACCTTGGGAGTACGTTATATCGTTAAATAAAAAATTCGAGAACATTATCTCCAAAATTTTACCGACAAAGACCTCACACGTGACTTTAAATCCCAAAAGATTATTCGAGACTAACACAACTACGACGAGAACACTGATATAATTAGTATCAGATTAAACATTGACACAATGCTTCATACTTAATTGTTCTCTTTAGAGGTCTTGAATTTTGTAATAACGTCTACAAAGTGTATGTACATTACCGATAGGTTAAGAAAGTTATGAAGGGATCCCGCCTTGTATGCAGTGCATGATTACGTAGACTCATAAGACAATATTTTCTCAAAGGTAAAACAGTTAAATCCTTTCGACGAGCAAAAATAAAATAAAAGATAAAGGTCGTAAATCCTTCCGACGTCCAGTTAAATCTTATTTGGTTAGTTATCACATAAGAGAGGGGGACTTGGCATGCATATTATTGTGTTTAGTTATCAACTTTATATTATTCTTATTATTAATCTATTTGGTTTTGTTCTATTTATCTATTTATCTATTCACATGTCTGTTTATCGATATATCTATCTATTTATCTATATTGTTAGGTATTTATTAGCTTATTTATCCATAGTAATAAGGTTGATCAGGCTGAGGTATTAGAAGATGGTGAACCCAAAGTCGAGGAGGAATGAGAAAAGCAGAATGATGTGGCATTGGGTCCAACAGGTTTCTGCAAGAAACGTACAATTCAAATGAACTTTTAGAAATAAACTTTAATTATAATATATATATATATCCCTTAAAACTAACTTTAAATCATTTATTTTTTATGTGTGGATTATATATTTTGAACTTTTAAATTTTTAAGTATTTCTTATGTGATATTTTAATATAAAAAATAAATAAACCATATACATGTGAGTTGAAAATGTATTCGAATTTACGGGTACCCGGACTTAACGGGTCGGGTCACAAATTGAAAAATATATTACCTTGAAAATCGAGTACCTGGTGCTTCAGCTACCTGAAAATGAGTACCCGATTCTGAACATCCCCTAACAACCCTTTATATCACAACACGTGTCATAATGTTTAAATAATAAGTCAACATTTATTATTTTTTATAGTGTTTTTTTTAATTTGTAAATATTTTAATAATACATTCGTAAGTTTTAATGAATTTATTTTAGGGTAAAGTATAGTAATGGTCACTGAACATTTCTGAAGCTTGCATTTAGGTCCCCCAACATTTAAAACTTGTAATACAGTCCCCCAACATTTATTCCGTTTGCAATATGGTCCCCCAACTTAAACCACAGTTAGAAATTAGGATAAATTATATAAATGGTCATTGAACTTTTCAGTCACTTGAATTTAGGTCCCCCAACTTTTAAAACTTGCAAAACAGTCATCAATTTCATTCTAAACCCCAATTTCCAAGTAATTCAATTTTATTCTAAACCCTAAATTCCAAAATACTTAAATTAAATTCAATTATGTCAAATTTATTATTAATTTCATCTTATTTCATGTGATACGTATTTTTTATATAATATAATAGTATAATTCTTATCTGTTGAAGAAATTTTTTAATTAAAAAAAGTAGTTAGGATATAGAAGAGGTTGAAAATAATTCGAATTTTAAATTTATAAAATGTTATTTTGACGTATAAATAAAAGTGTAAACTACTCGGTTGACAACTTAACTATCTAGCCCTTTTTACTTTTGTCATCGATCTTTTAAATTTATCAATCATACCACATAATTATTTAACTGTTTCAACTAAGCCACTAGTCGTTACCAATTGATAAAAATGATGATGTGGCAGTTAAAGGAATTGGTATTATTACATTCAGTCTTTATTATTTATATAATCAATTTGGTCCTAAATTAAATAAAATTTAATAAATAATTTAATTAGGATCTGACATGTGTTAGCACATGATCATGACACGTGTCATTGGTGAACATGTTACCACCTAATTATTTATATATGCTATCAATTGGTCCTAATTAAATAAAATTTAATAAATTAATCATTTAATCAGGATCTGACATGTGTTAACACATGATCATGATATGTGTTATTGGTGACACATGTCACCTCCTAATTAGAAGAAAATTAAGTTACAAGAAGTAAAATTTGGGTCTTGGGCAAACTCAAACCTGAGTCACGCAAATGAAAGATACAGGGTGGAGCCACTAAGCTAACACCATCGTTTGTGTTAAGAGATATACAATATACATATACTAATAGTATGATCAATGCCAGAAAAAAAAATATAATGTAAAATGGAAATAATGAGATTTGAACTTCGGCAAAAATTTGAAAGCAATAAATGATGGGAAAATATATATTTTTACAATAAAAAAATATTATATTTGATAAATTGTTTGATAGATTTAATATTTTTAATATTAGTTGATACAATATTTTAAAAGAATAAATTTAAGATTTATATATTTTTAAACTAAATTTAATAATTATATTTTCATATTATAATTCATGATTATATATAATCTTAAGTTGAGTCTTCTAATATAATTAATAATTTAATTTCTTATTAAAAATAAAATATTCAAAAAATATAAATGATTCATACATTTATATGAATATATTTTTTATTTATACATCTAAATATAAATACATTTATATAAATAATTTTTATTCGTTGTGTCTGTGCCTTGAACTCTTTCTTCAAGCCTATATTACCTTAAATTGAAGTATTTTAGAATTTAATTGAAGTATTTTAGAATTTAGGGTTTAGAATAAAATTGAATTACTTTGGAAATTGGGGTTTATAATGAAATTGATGACTGTTTTGCAAGTTTTAAAAGTTGGGGGACCTAAATTCAAGTGACTGAAAAGTTCAATGATCGTTTATATAATTTATCCTAATTTTCTAACTGTGGTTTAAGTTTGGGGACCATATTGCAAACGAAAAAATGTTGGGGGACTGTATTGCAAGTTTTAAATGTTGGGGGACCTAAATGCAAGCTTCAGAAATGTTCAGTGACCATTACTATACTTTACCCTTTATTTTATTTGGTTTTCTACTAAATTATATCCTTTCCCTAAATTTAACGTGTATTTTTTTTAAAATTTTAAATAATTTATAATAATTTAATTTAATATATTCAGTTTTTTTTTTTATTTTCATTTCAAATAATAAATTTTTAAAATTTATTTTCTTAAAATATCTCTAAATATTGGTTATTTTTTATTAAACTTAAAATTATTTATTTTGATTCTTTTTTTCTCCAGAAAATAGATTTATTTATTGATTATTTTTTTATTTAATTGAGAAATAATCATTTTAAAATATTTTTATAAAAAATAATTTTTATTATATAATATTTAAAATCATATATTAAAGTTTTTTATTAAAACAAAATTTTAAAAATAACTCTAAAATCAAAATAAAAATAAAATAAAATTAATCAAACTAAATTTTCATTTATAATTGATTTAAAAAAAAAATAAATTTTACTTTACAACGGTTATTTTATTTGCTCGAACTCAGTTAATTAAATAAAAAATTTACTTTATTCCCTCCCATCTCAGGTAAAATACTCCAGTTTTCGAGCCCTAACATTCCTCTCACCCGCTATCATATCCTCGCTTTGTTCCATCTCAATCTCTCCGATTACACT